CAAATGGGGATACCCCAGTCACCGGTGGGACAGAGAAGGGAGGATAAGGCACGGGCCAGGCACCAGGCCCGGCTGGTGATGGTGTTGCCTGAGCACGGCCTGACAATACGGCCAGACTTTGTTGAACGTCTTGAAGGATGGTAGTCTGGTGTTCCTGCATTTCTATAACCCCTAGCAGGGCCTTCCTAACTACCCTCACATCATCATCCATATGCGTCGGGTCCCCATCGTTTCTAACTCCTCTATGTCTGTTTCTCTTTGCTGCATCCTGGCTCTTCTTCTAATCATCATCTCCTTCTTCCTTTTCATCTTTCCTAATGCCTGCCGTAGCTGTGCCTCCTGCAGGGCTGCCTGCTGGATGGCGACATCCTCTGGGGTCAACACCGCGGGCTGGCTTGCCATTAAGCCAGTAGACTGACTCACGGTCTGTGCGACCGTGGACCCGGCGGTACCTGAACTACCGGCTTGAGAAGTCTGTTGCGCAGACATGCTCATGGTTGTTGTAGCCATGGCTGCTGTAGCACCAGCCCCGCCAATTAAGGTTTTGCTGGCCTCGGCTGCTCTAGCTCTCCTCTCCCTCTGTCGGCGGAACAGTTCCCTATCACCCTCCGGTCCTAGGGACACGTGAGTTAACGGGCCTCTGGCAGATCGCAAGATCCTGCGGTCGTCCTCTCCGGTGTCCCCTGTGTCGCTCATGGACTACAACACTGTGCACTGTCTACACTAGATCATTCTAGATGCCTACCGCAGCTTAGTGCACAGACCAACTATTTAGTGGTGGCTATTTTTGGAACAGATCTCATTTGGGGCCAACAGGTAAGTCAGATTCCTACTGTCAATACTATTTTTAGTAAGATTAGTTCTCAAACAGAGGAAGCATCAGGAATAAACAATATTCTAAACTAATGCTGTCTGTCAGATGTCACATGGCTTTCCATCTAACTAATCAAAAATAAAAATAATGTTGACTGACTGGGTCTGTTCATAGCATGGAATTAAAACCCGAACTTATCACCTGGAACCTACCCCTCCCTTTGTTCTTCTCAAAGTCACGGTGTCACGTTTCTTTGCATCAGAAGCCAAGCGTGTCTCAAAGGTGTGCAATCCGGTCCCACCCCTGTGCCCCGGGCTATCGTCGAGCAAGGCAGCCACAACACTCTTATTTACCCTCGTACGCCGACGAGCCTTCCACTCGGATGATCTGGCTGATCAAGAGGCAATTTACCGTCCGCCCCCAAGTGACATCAGGAATTATTTTACGTCGCAGCAGGAAGACAATCACAGCCAGATCAGAGCCGAGTCCCCAGCCAAAAATGTTTATAGACGGTCTGGTAAGCATCTGTAGAGGCTGCCACACTCGAGTTAACCCCTATCATGCGCAAGCAGCAGAACCAATGACTTGCAGCAAAGCATGCGTGTACTACACCCAGTGGGTTGGCATGGTGACCGTGACCCAGTGCTTCGTCCAGGGCCCTTCAAGAAGCTCCGCCCGTCTTCCCCCAGATGCTCCACGTGAACAATCAYGACTCTCAAGRTTGAGYGCACACGACACCTCACGATGAGAGGACTCTCAAGACAAAACTCACAACCTCACGGTAAGAAGTGATGAAGAGGGTAGGTAAGGTTAAGAGCAACGTACCTCGTTCATGCTGCCCCCAACCACAGAGATAGCCTCACCAGATGACCTGAAGATGATTGTGATGACCAGTCACAGCATCGGCACAACCAGCATTTCGCCGTTCCACCTCAGCCTCAATCCCAACAGATAGTTCTCATCACACTGCGAACACCCAATATTGACACCTTAGCCTTCCAGGCGATGCCCCTCACCACCTGGGTCGCCTTCAGACTCGTCTCCACCCTCCTCACTACACACCACTTATGGCCAAACTTCGCCCAGCAGACCGCATGTATGTACCGCATAAGGTAGAAGACAAGCGCCAGATGAGCGCAATCGTACCACAGCTCCAATACCAAATTGCAAGGAAGATGAGCATTAGCGAACTCCAGCAATCAAACAGCATCATACATATGTGTCCAGATAGTCTTGACCTCGAACCAACAGCAGTCATGCATCACGAGATTCACCAAATCAGAACACACCAATAGTTCGTAATTGACAATGCTGAAATAGTCTCTCATCATCATCAACAAAGAACAAGAGTCGATATCCTATTGGCGCTCGGCGCCCAGACTACTTGTGGCAGATCCCATCTAGCCTAATACTACAATGCCGATGTTGACAACAACAGCTCCCTGAAGTACGAGCATACAGCGGACAATGCCGCACGCTTCCAGCACCAGGTATGTCTCTCGTAACACTCACAACCTCGATCCACACCGCACAGATGCCACTTGCACCMAAGGACCACCCTGCGTCACATCCAGCCTACAGCGGAGCAGCTCGGCTATGGCTGCCCGCTACCTCCCTGCTCGCCCGTGAGAGCGTGAGTGCCAGCCAGCCAGCAATGAGCGCAACAGCGCTTGCGCAGCATGCAGCCAGCTCCCGAATGCCGAATGAGGAGGCAGGCCCTTCCCTATATCGAAGTGGCCTGCCTGCGTCCAGTCCAGGAAGCTTCCAGTAGGCCCCGGTAGGCACAGGCCCAGTCACGAAGAGCGCAGGCCTTGGGCCTGAAGTGGTTGCATGCGCCCAACTGCTTCCGGCCTGTGTTTGGCCCGGTACCCGTATCCAGCCCAGGGCCGGCTTCACATTCATTTACACAGGCGGCCCAGGGCCTGGATTCATTCAACCAACTGGCGCAACGCAACTGTCTGAATTTCCCCGATGGCGGGTACCCTGAAGAATGAGGCCCGAAGGGCCTGTCGTGCCTGCCTTCACTTAGGGCGGCCGGCCTTGTTGCAGATAGGGCCCCGTAGGGACTAAGCGGGCGTAGCCTCGCATTTTTCAATTTTTTAAAATATTTTCCTGGATAGATCACGACCAAATCTACAGACCCTGCAATTTTCAGAGCTTTTGCGTCATTATTCTGAGCGAAAAAATCACAGAAGTTGGGCTTACTTTTCCGTCGGCCCAAAAGTGGTCGAGTGGCAAAAATGGAGAATGCAACAAATCGGCGCGGCACTCATTTGGTGGTCTAAACATTTTTATTTTATTTTTCTGATATTTTCCTGGATAGATCACAACGTAATCTACAGGATATCCAATTTCAGATTTTTTTCGTTAGTTCTTCTGATCGTGAAAAATCGCCAAAGTTGGCACTCAAAAATTGCAGAACTGGCCCCGCCTGTGCCCGCCGGTCGCTGCCCTACCGT